TCTGCGACGAAAATTTTGACGAAAATACGTCCCCTCTTAGGCCTGCACATTATGACAAACTTCCGGCCTCTTTAAAAACTTTGTGAAAGTAATATCTAATTGCAGAAGGTGTTACACACATGAACAACAAGAGTGTTGGCATCCGAAACAGGACTTGATTTGCACCAGGGAAATCAGAGAACGACAGGTCATTTCTTCTATAAAATTTTCAAGTCCCTCCTTTTGATGAAAGCATCAAATCTCCCTGTTTCGACCACCGACAAAATCTCTGGAATATGAGTACATTCCTCCTGGTCAGACAGCATTAGGTCTAGTAGAGTCGATTAAAATATCTAAAAATTTAGTCCTAACTTAACCGATATCTAATTTGCATGGGCAGCGCGGCAAAAAAGCTCCTTCTAAGAATGCGTTCAGAGCGACTTGGATCAATAAGTCCTGCTGAGTATTGGTTGCCTCGGCAACCTGCTCCTCCACAGAACTCTCGACTTGTGGCAGAAAGTGATGCAACCAAAGGTCTTCAGCCCAGCTGCAAAGAAAAGGATACCTTATGTAAAATTAGTGCAGGGTTTCTATTTTCAAACGAGGAAGGGGAGAAGGAAGACGGCATGCAACTTACCAAATATGACATTAAGGCCGTATTAGACACAAGAACAAGCAGAGGCGCAGTATTATCTAAGGCGCACGAAACATAGAGCCTATGGACCATAGGAACTTTTGCTTAGGCCTAGGCACTTATGATGACACCTTTTTGCTTTCTGTACAGTATGTATGTAAATTTCGTCACGATAAAGCGATTTCCCAGCACATTTCTACAGAAAGCACGCGACTAAGCCGCCTTCTTCGAAAGGGAACCAACAACTCCAGAAAGATTTTGAGTGTTGTCTTAAGTCTTCATTTCATCCACATCAATATAATCAACGTATTATATTACGAAATTATGTGACATGAAACATGAAATCATTACCTTTTAAGGCCGGCTGAATCACTGAAAGGGGCAGACAGAAACAGCCCAAGATCTGCGAAGAAAACAATGACAGTGAGTAATATGCAGGTTTGTTAATCGTGCTTAGATCATGTCTTGCCACAAACGACCAATGAACTAACAAAAAATTTATGAAACACATTGCAGTCAGATTGGCTTGACTGTCCATAAAATGATGGCTTTGTGTGTAACAATACAAAGTGCTTTTCGAATCGATTCATGTTTGCATCCAAATTACAGAACAATTGAAAATCAACTAGCAAAAATTAAAGAGACTATAAACTAAGTGATCTGATCAGAAGGCACATTCTTACATATTCTCAATTCCTTAAAGCAAGCTGGAAATCGTCCCTTTGGTACCTACAACTAGTTAGCTTTGAATCTATTTTGGTATATTTTTCAGTAAAAACCAAAATGGCACTAAAGATACTGAGAAAATTGAGTGTGACTTTATTTGGTTTTTGTGACATATCAAAACAAGTGTTTGAGCATTTTATGGCAGCACCAGGTGACATTGAGCCTAAGCAGATATACGATGAAACAACTTTTACACAAGTGACAACGAATTACGAAATAAAGAAACAAAATTGAATGGTTCGACTTTTGGCATCTACAAAAAATGAACTTCAAATTTTGAAAACAAAATGAACATGATTCACAATAACGACAAGCCTGGCATATCCAATTTAATGTCTAGCTTTTCAAGATCGATTCTAGATCTTCTGTAAACATCGCTTATCCAGGAGCTCCAGTTATCAATTTCCCTAAAAATGGATCAAGCAATATTCAGAGATTATGAACTGGGAAGAGCTTAAAACGTTTCTGAAACTATGAGTGACTTGACAATTAACGTCATATGGGAGTATGATTGGATTGTAAGAAAGGTATCTAATTTAAGATTGACATTAAAGGTATAAATCTGATTGTTGAAAATGTTAAGCAGCCATAAAAATCAAGTGCTAAATTTCGCACTAGTCATGTGGCAGGTGAATAGCTGGACAGGGCTCTCGGAAGATGGCACAAAGCACAAACTGAAAATCTGAAGACTCTGCCAGATTGAAATTATGAGAGCACCTGTTCACACACAATGAAAGGAATCTCATAGAAAATTAAAAACTAAATTGGAAAAAGTAGCTTGTAGAAGTGAAAGAGCCAATAACCCGGCTATTAAAAATCTCGCTGCCATAACACTCCTGTAAGTGTAAAAACTAAACTACAAAGATATTCACCTGAAGTTTAATCGGCTTTCTGAGTTTCGTGTTGCCTTTTGTCGGAGCCAACGTTGCAGAAGAACAGGCATGGTTGGTGGGAGATCAATTAACTTGAAAAATCTATGAATTCCTTGCCCAAATCGGTCCATGCTGGAAAAAAGTGAGCACTTAAAACAAGTAAATATAGAGTATTAAAATCTTGGCTGCAAATGGCTGGAAAAAAAGCCGGAAATAGGCAACAAACACTGATAAAAAATCAATACTGAATAATATAAAGATTGTTGCTTTACAAGTAGTTTTGATACACACAACGTCCCCATAAAATCTGAGTAAATTCAAAGTGTTCATTTTTGAACTGAGACCAAAAAACTCATGCATAGTATGAAAGGGTTGAAATATTCTTGCTTTGGCAAACTAGATCTGAAGCAATTTACTTCCGATATACAAAGCTGAATTCTGCCGATCCCACATCTCTTAGTCGCATGAGCAGGATTACTCAAAATGATATGTTATTTCAAACTCTGGCAGGGAACATGGTGCTAAAGATTGGGTAGATGTTCGATTTAATAAAGGGAATTTTTGTCTCATGGAACTTTTGTCTTCTTTCTAGCTCTCGTGGATAGCGCTCTATCAGCCTTAAAGGTTTGTTAGCAGCTGTAAATAACATCAGCTGTACTGTCTTCAAAATATATGTCCCTTAGTAGCTCAGGCTATCGACCGCGGTAAGGCAATTTTGCTGCAGTTCTGAAAGCTGAAGGTTGGGCTCTATCCTTTATTTAGGGAAGGACTAACAACGACGGGGAAGCTAAAGAAAACGAGAATAGAACAGTATCTGCATTTTGGGGGGGGGGGGAGTGATGAAGTCTGCATTGAAGGAACTGGCCATCCTTTGTCTCCATGCTTTAGCCTATGGACACGGCTCGCATACAGGAATCGCCTTACTTTAAGCAAGACAGTTGATGACAAAAATTAAATGATATTTCCAACAATTAATACCAATTGACTCTCCAAATAGCAATCGTAAACCTTAAATACTGTTGTTCTATACTGTAAGGGTTATTTACCTTGTCTTCGTTGCATATGCAAGTACGATGACGTCATTTTGCAAATAGTAAAGCTGACTGTTCACTCCAATGCCATTGCTTAGATAGAAGGGTTCTTCTGTTCCACGTTTTCCAAGCCAAACAAAGACATCCGAAGATAATTTTCGATTAAGGATGAAATCAACGTCGATCAGAATAATTGTTGAGCACTTAGGTCTCTCGCGATTCACCTCAACCAAAGCTCCTAAAAAGGAACAGCAAACTGCATTGCAATGGACTCGCCTAAGCTCATTGATCACACAATACAACACCGTTTGAAGGTGGAAATGGGGTGCTATGGAGAAACTTTTCCAAGCACCGTATGTGGCAAAAGGAACAATAGCGTAATTTTCAAGCATTTTTTAACATTTTACTGAAATGTAATAGGCCAGAATTGGAGTTATTTTTGTTAATTTATCATAATTATTTTTCACAAAGACGCAAAAAGTAAGATTTCCAATGTCCACCAGGAGAGCTACAATTCCTATCACTGGCAAGATAGCCAAATTTAATCCAACCTAACATATCAATTAATTCGAATGCCTTTCCTTGTAAAACAATTTGAGATGTTTCAAAGCACATCGATTGATCCAGGATCATTAAACAGCCATACCTGTTATGTTTGAGAACTAGAGGACAGTTAAAATGTGCGTCTACATATGGTATGTGACTTTGTATGACGACTTATATAGCAATAAGCATGAATCAGCATAACATATGAAACGTGGTGAAATCATTAAAGAATCAAGATACGCTAGGGTACATATTTAACAGATAACAGAAACATAACATGATTTATATTTTTGCGAAAAAATTTCTATATTTTTAAATATAATCTATGAAAGTAATTATGATTTCTAGTACGTCCTTTCATAGGTTATCGGGAAATAGCATTTGTTGAGGAATGGTTGATTCGTTCGTAAAAAATACACTCTTTCACTGCTGTTTGAATTTATACATGCGAACAAGAATCACTCAAATAAATGTGCTCCAAAAACGCTTAGACAAATCAAGTGCTTCCAATCAACTACTGTGCATGTCTACGTGATACAAATAAGTAATCTGCCTTCAGAAAGAAATTATTACCTTTCCTTTTCAAAAACCCTCGCGCATATAAACAACTCTCACATGGAATTTTCCAAGGTCTTTTTGGACTCTGCGCAGTAGACCAGAAAGTATGGCAAAAATCAGGCATGGGAAATGCATTGGATTGAAATGAAACTATATTTAGTTCTAGTAAAAACCTATCAATGGGACATATAAGGGGTGCATAATAAAACATAAATTTACGGAGATACCAACCATATTCTCGTAACAGTTTCACAAGTTCCTGAGCAGTGCAAATCTCATTCTCTTCAACGCTTGCAATAAAACTTGTCTTGCCTCTAATTTCGTCCATGGTCTGATTGACTAATAAATTTCATCCTTGCAAGTTACATGCAATACTAGATATACGTATAAAAATACAGCTCATAATAAAATGGGATTCTCAGCTAATTGTGAGCATTTAATCAAGCATATAGCTCAATATAAATAGATCAAATTAATGAACATGCCCTTTCGTGCAGAGTTCTTATCGAATTCTGAGAAAATCTCAAATGACATGATCCTGTAACAAACGCTTCAAAACCCCTTCCACTTAGACGCTTCCTTGAAAACGGAAAACATTTGTTTCGTTTCCATTTAGATATAAAGGCGAACTTTGCAAACGTACTCTAGTGTCTCTAATAGAAGGGGGAGGTAATAGAAGGGGATGTTCATGTCGACCAGTTTTCAATAGAAGGGGGTTGCTAATAGAAGGGGGTGTTCATGATGTCGGCCAGTTTTCAATAGAAGGAGGGTGCTAATAGAAAGGGGTGCTCATGTCGGCCAGTTTTCAATAGAAAGGGGTTGCTAATAGAAGGGGGTGTTCAGGTTGGCCAATTTTCAACAAAATGCCAGTAAACTTCAATAGCAAAGGGGAGCTAATAGAAGGAGTGGATGCTGGTAAATCTTTTAATTAAAAGGCAGTGGAATTAGTAGGATGGTGACACTGGTTACTTGATAATGGATAGATGGTTAGAGATAAAGATAGACAAACATAACAGGGGGAGTTATGACAATTAAAAAATAACTACATAACATAACAAGGAGAGTTATTGACAAGTGAAAATTGCGTGTCCCAGTCATGACAGATTTGTAAAATTAGACAGAAGGGGGTGCTAATAAGCGACAGGGGGAGGGCAAATTCTTCTGAAATTAATACACGGGGGGCCCTTCTATTAGAGACACTAGAGTATTTGTGAAGACGCTGCCACTTAATGGCAAGGAATTTATCACGGAGATTAGGTTTACGGAGCAAGGTGTACTATAATCCATGAGTCAGTTATACAAAAATATACACATCTTACTGCGCAAAAAGAATCGTGATGTAATATGATACTACGTAATATTACTTACGCTGAAAATTTCAGATTTGGGAAATGAATAGGAAACAAATTTTCTTTACGTTTGGTGAATTTGGTGAAAACAAATTTTCTATCACGGTGAGCTTATTTTTAAGCAAGTTTTCATATGGAAAATATCCAACCAAAATAATTTTTTATTCAATCCAGGGGAACACACAACAGACATAAAAAGTAGAAAATTCATTATTAATCAAATTAATGCAACTTGTTATATTGAGACAACCCAAAGAATAATATGCACTTACAAAATCTTCTACATCATTGAAAGTAAAGTTAATGTAGCCCCCGTCCAGGGAAAACGACTTTCTAAGCAACATACATTAACTGCTACCTTACCGGTTGATATCATACGGAGGATACTGTAGACAACATACCTTGAGCCAATGGGAGAAGCAGGAAATGAAATGCTTAGCCTCTATCGTGTCGTCAGTCATGAACAGCGCATTTCTGTACCGCTTAATCTGAAAATGGAAATCATATATGTTATGTGGAAATAAAATCATTACTGTCATCAACAGTGGGTGTATTTTCAAATAAGTTCAAAACTTCAAGCTAAAACAAAGATTCAAGCTATCAGAATAACTCACCAATCTGCAATATTCTTGTAAAGACGTATTTTCTAGAGACGTAGAGTATGCCACTGAATCAAATGTTGAAGTTGTTTCATCTGAAAAGCAATGATTAAAAATTGCTGTCACCTTTAGGACAAACACTTTAGGACAATGATAATTGCAAACGATTAATCAATTTGTCGTTACGAAAATGAAACTAGATACCTCTAATCAGAGATAAACAATTATTGAGAATATTGTTAAGAATATATATAAACTTTATCAAATTAAGAAAACCAAAAAAGAGCATTTTTCTTGCAGTTATCAACTACAACGTAAAAGTGAATTAATCAAAAATCCTTTTATGTTTGACAATAACTTAAAAGCAGAAATTTAGGTGCATCTTTAATCTAAAAAGAAAGGAAAGAGGATAGATTGACCAAGCTCTCAAAATAAGTTAAAATATGTTTAGGGATAACTCATATTCAATCTTAAAACAAGTGGTGCTCTCTCCTCGATTAGCCCAACTACTCAGAGAGTCCCTCCTCAAGGAATTCCCCTTCATACAATTTGGTATGTAGGCTATTATTTCTCTGTTGTTTTTAGATTTGTGTTTAATTTGTATTGTGTGTAGTATTGTATTAATGTAACTGATAAATTGTATGTAGTAGAAATTTTAAAATAGGAGACGGAAACTAAAAAATAAGAGTTGTCCTGAAAAGCAAGTTCTAAACTTTTCTTAATATCTTCCTAATCATGCATTAACATTTCCAATGATACAGATCTAACTAGCCGGAGGTTTTAGCATATCTCTTTTAACTGTCCTTTCTGAATGTTGGTGACACCGTATCAAAAAGGTAATGAATTTGAAAATGTAAGGAAACGTAGGTTAAATTTTTTGTGGCATTCCAATTGCATACTCATTTGATGAATTACGTAGTCACTCTAACACTGGGATTTTTCTTCTTACGAAAATCAGTACCATATCAATTTGTGGTTGACGTCAGTAAAAACTGGCGATGGACAAGAACAAATCTGGGGGATTTCTTCACTTTCAATAAGAATTAGGAAGAACTTCTGGAACTAATTCGATGATTTCAGCCAATGAATTGTTTGATTTGATTTGACGGATTGAGGCTCCCTACAAGGACCGAAACTCGTGAACGTTATCTAAAGCGAGTTGAGACTCTTGGAGGGGAAAAGAGGTTAACATGTTGCAACAGTACCTTTGAGACGAATAGTCAGGTAAGGTTTCGATCTATTTTGCCATGCCGCTGTCCAAGGCGTGATACCTGCAGGAAACCCTGTAGGCGTCCAGGCAACAGATCCTAGCTCAAATCGACTGACGCTTGACTGGAAAATCGCTGTAAACAGTGTAAAACGGAGAGAGGCTAAGAAACTGGCAAAACACATCGCAAATTTCAAGGGAAACGCTAATGTTTATACAACTGCAAACGTTCAAGGCCTGAAATTACGGCATAACTAAAATTTGGCATAACCGTTGATATGGTCATAATCTACCAGGAATAAAATTGTCACGATCGTGAAGCTATCTGAGCTTTGATAAGCATCACAACACCAAGTGCTGTATTTTTATTAATAACCACTGTGGATTTGACAAAAAAGTCGAACTATCACATGTGAGTCTATTTGCAAAGAAAATCAATTCGGAAGTGACGTACCAGCATTACTCGTGCTCAGACCTCTAGACGCTCTCCAAGGAACCTTATCCAAGAAAATTTTTTTTCACGGCCTCTGTAACTGAGTTCCATTCACTTTCGTGTTGTAGCCGCAATTCACCAATGAAGTCTAGAATACTATCAGACATCACCAAACCATCTGCTGAAATACAAAATACAGAAAAAAGTATTACCAACTTGACAGATAAAATATGCAGCAAAGTTACAGAAGTTCAACCACCTCTAGCTAGTAAAAGCAAACAAAGAAATCAATTCAACGGTCCAACCTGAAAAAACATCAAGCACAACAAAGACAAATCTGACATTGTCCAAAAAATCAAGCAAGATTTTTTATAAAATTCCTTGAAGATTTTCCTCGACAGTATTACACAGGCACTATATGACAAACTAAAGCAAATAAAGAATAATGTTTTATTTTGCATTCAGGCTTGTGGACGTTAATTTCCAAAAAAATTAAAAATCCTAAAGGATCCTTTGCATAACAAGTGTTATTCAAAACCAGCCAACTATTGCTCCGGATATGCAGCTATGTAGCAAAAGAATTTATTCCTGCACCTATAACAGACTCTTACAAATATTTAAAATACTTTCAAAGGTCACTAGCATACCATCAGAAAAGCCCCAGCCATAACCTGCGGCAACTGCAATGAGTAGGGTGCAGGAATCTAGAATTAAAAGCATCAAGTCAAAGTTTATAGAAAAGTGGAAACAATACTTCAGTTCAGATTCTTGCAAATAATTAAAGAAGTTTTGTTTACCGATGTATGCTAAAGGCAACATACAGGTTTGATGTCGCAGAAATTTACACTAGTTGCCAGGTACCGCGTAAAAGGCGTTCTTGAAAAGTCTCTGAAAACATTAGATGTCTCTGTAATTTTGACATTTTCGACATTTTATGAGGTCATTAGTAATTGTTTTTGTTTGAGTGTCGTAATGAACTGACCGGCAAGGAGAAAGATAAGTAAATTCTGATTCAGTGCCTATCGCGCGCAGTTGTTGTTAAGGCTATGTACATACAACCATAGAATTTTATCACCAAAATTTAAAAAAACATTTTACTCGCATCATTTGCTAAAAATTAATTATATATATATGAAATAATGAATTAGAAAATCTTTCTTGTCCACAGTGTGCATCATTCAAACAAAATGTATACAAATACAGTAAATCCCGATAACACAAACCCCTGAAAACTTGAACATTTATTAACTCGAACCATTTTTATTGTTTCTTTGGAGGTCAGAGTTATAGAGATTACTGTATAGCAAATGTTTTTGATGGAAACCTTGCCTACACTTATCACAATCTCAAAGCAAACTCGTCACCCAGTTACGCGACAAAGTGCCTTTAAGACTTAAGACAAGAAGGTTAAGACTTGAAAAACAGACTGACATATGACAGCAGATGCTAACAAGAGCAATATTTTCAATTCTATCACCATAACATTTCAGCTAAACAACCTCTTGTTTCTAAATAAACAAAACAAAATTTTCTTTATAAATACTAGGAAAATAAAACTAAGGTATATACCATATATGGTTTCTCCACCCACCCACAAAACAACGATGTTTGCCTTTGCAATTATCATCGGAAAGGTTATATCAGAACAGACACCTCCCTGTTGAGAGTGGCTGATACTAGAAGCAGAAAGGTGTTAAGGGCATTGGAGGTTCCCTACCCTTTATGTAAAGAAGAGTAATGTTTTGTCGTGTACCTTGTTTTGCTGAGACTCCCCCTGTCGTCTACTTGGGGGTATCCTCCTTGGGTCACTACCATAAGATAAGCATTCATAATATGAATAGTTCAGGTGTGCATGTTTAATTTCACTTTAGGACAAATAATCCTGTCATCTTACGGGACCGGAAAGTACTTAAATATACCAATATAGGAAGAACCAATAACAAAGCTTGTTTATGTCTAATGTCTACTACTTTTCACCCCACGTATGATTTGTTGTCTTGCGTTTCCTTGGAATAGCTATTTGCTTTCTGCAAGAACACAAAATAGAGCAAAAAAGACCCTATCTTGCTTGATTATTTAATTTTGTTTTCTTGGCTGACAAAAGACTGTAGTTGAGTAACATATGAAAAGTTATTAGAATGCTAAGCATTGCCCGCAACGCAGCAGCAAGAGATATCGAATTCTCTTCATTAAAAGATAACGTTCAGTTCAAATATGAGCAAGCAGCTATTTTGAAAAGCAAAAACAGAAGACAAGTCGAGGAGTAATATATCATGGCAAAATATGGTGCCCCTCCCCCAAAACCAAAACACCGTTAAGTTCATGCTTCATAGCCCGTTCTGCATGAAACTGCTTTCTAGCATGCCCTCAATTTTTGGATAAACCCATATTGGAAAAAGCCATAAATGCTAGTCCCCATCTATAACGCAAATATCTAAGCGATAATTACTGCCCAACAACGAAGAAATAATTTGTTATTTGCTAAAATGTCCTTGTACGTATAACATATCACGAGGTCGTGCCATCGTGAATACTTCGATTTGTTGTTTCACATATATACTACAATTATATACAATTATATTCTTGGCCTAATTGGAAGTTATGCTTGAACCGTAACATAAATTATTCCCAGCGTCATGAAATAAACCTTGGGTCAACCCATTAATGCATGCCACCTAACGCATCCTTGGCTATTTAGCAATCTAAAATTTGAAAGCTAGGTCCACTGCAAATGCTTCAATAAAATATCCATAGCTAGATGATACAGTTGACTTATGACAATCCATAAATATTAACATGGACGTTCTATATTCTGATTAAATAATGTAAATAATCTGATCTTACTTAAATTATATTTAATTTGTTTAAAGACACTGTCTCATTGAACTTTGAGCATACTCGCCTAGGCAGGTTTTGCTATACAATATCAATAGGTCTTGGTCTAGGAGCCTTAAATCTTGATGATCAGTCACCAAGGGAAGCGGTGGAAATTACAATAGGTATACGAGCCATTGACTCCTCGTGCTTGGAATTACAAAAAGACATCGTTTCGTTTGGAAACACCAAGGAGACTACTGTGTTCCGAATTTGCGTGAAGTCGCAATATCGCGGTACCTGCACATCGAGACACAGCACCTCCCGTAAATTCCAGAAACGGTACCCTTGTTTCCAGAAATATGAAACGAGGACATGTTGCACAACGACTGCTGACTGAACAATCACTTAGATACATTAGGGTGACGTCACAAACTTTCATAAATTCTAATGCTTGTTCAATAGCTGCCACAAAGGTTAGGAACTCGCTTCTGCACTGTTCAACAGGATAATAAATACTGTGTCCACAAAAAATAGAATAATATAGTACATTACATATCAACGGTTTAACAAGTTTATCACCTAAGATCTAATAAGGTAAAAATGAACTTAAATGAGTTGTGTTTTATATGTCGGGTTTATGTGTCTAGTGTTTAAACGATGACGTCATTGAGTTAAAAAATAAACAAATCAAGATATTGTGATCAATTAGGCAGAATCAATCAACGTGAAAAGGATATGATTAGATGCTATAGATCCACAATAACAGTACTTTTGCTGGCAAGTTTGATGCAAATGGTATTTGAAATTTTTTAAAATATTTTTTTTACTCGAGACAACCTAAAAAGCCGCAACATACCTTCTGAACGCCATTTCGGGTCTTTTCGGTGAAATTTATGCTGATTTTTTTAAAATAAGGACTTTGTGATTTTTGAAAAATTCATGACCCCGGCCCTGCAAAAAAGTTGAAAAATCTTGAAATTTTTAAAAAATTTTTTTTTACTCGAAACAACCTGAAAAGCCGCAAGATACGTTCTCAACGCCATTTCGGGTTTTTTCGGTGAAGTTGATGCTGATTTTAGGAAAATAAGGACTTTGTGATTTTTGAAAAATTCATGACCCCGGCCCTGCAAAAAAGTTGAAAAATCTTGAAATTTTTCAAAAATTTTTTTTTACTCGAAACAACCTAAAAAGTCGCAAGATACGTTCTGAACACCATTTCGGGACTTTTTGGTGAAGTTGATGCTGATTTTAGGAAAATAAGGACTTTGTGATTTTTGAAAAAATTCATGACCCCGGACCTGCAAAAAAGTTGAAAAATCTTGAAATTTTTCAAAAAAATTTTTTTTACTCGAAACAACCTAAAAAGCCGCAAGATACGTTCTGAACACCATTTCGGGTCTTTTTGGTGAAGTTGATGCTGATTTTAGGAAAAAAAGGACTTTGTGATTTTTGAAAAAATTCATGACCCCGGACCTGCAAAAAAGTTGAAAAATCTTGAAATTTTTCAAAAAATTTTTTTACTAGAAACAACCTAAATAGCCGCAACATACCTTCTGAACGCCATTTCGTGTCTTTTCGGTGAAATTTCTGCTTATTTTTTGAAAATAAGGACTTTGTGATTTTTGAAAAAAGTCATGACCCCGGACCTGCAAAAAAGTTGAAAAATCTTGAAATTTTTCGAAAATTTTTTTTACTCGAAACAACCTAAAACGCCGCAAGATACGTTCTGAACACCATTTCGGGTCTTTTAGGTGAAGTTGATGCTGATTTTAGGAAAATAAGGACTTTGTGATTTTTGAAAAATTCATGACCCCGGCCCTGCAAAAAAGTTGAAAAATCTTGAAATTTTTCAAAAAATTTTTTTTACTCGAAACAACCTAAAAAGCCGAAAGATACGTTCTGAACACCATTTCGGGTCTTTTTGGTGAAGTTGATGCTGATTTTAGGAAAATAAGGACTTTGTGATTTTTGAAAAATTCATGACCCCGGCCCTGCAAAAAAGTTGAAAAATCTTGAAATTTTTCAAGAATTTTTTTTTACTCGAAACAACCTAAAAAGCCGCAAGATACGTTCTGAACACCATTTCGGGTCTTTTAGGTGAAGTTGATGCTGATTTTAGGAAAATAAGGACTTTGTGATTTTTGAAAAAATTCATGACCCCGGACCTGCAAAAAAG